CTATAAAATACTATTGATCAGGTTAGAAGGAAGGACATCTTGATTTTAATGGAAGACTTCAACGCTAAGGTAGGCAGTGACAATATGTCACAATGTAGGCTTTGAGGAAACCATGGGGAGACACGGACTTGGAGTCAGAAACGAGAATGGAGAACTATTTGCAGAAACGAATGGGCTCATGATAGGAGGGACTGTTTTCCCACATAAACAGATACACAAATCAACATGGGTGTCGCTAGACCAATAATCTGAAAACCAGATTGACCACATATGTGTCAACAAAAAATTCAGGAGATCAATGAGGGATGTTAGAGTTTACAGGGGTGCAGACGTAGCTTCGGACCATCATCTGCTCATTTCAACAATCCAACTAAAACTAAAGCGAAGACAGGGAATTGTCAATAATCATAGGTACCGGTACAACATGGAATTTCTGAGAGAGCCATCGTCAAGTGAGGAGTTTAATGTAGCAGTTAAGAACAGGTTCCAAGTGTTGGAAACACTAGGCGAGGATAGCAGCGTGGAAGAAACATAGGAGGCAATAAAAGAAGGCTGGACCACAGTGTGTCAAGAGGTACTGGGGAAACGGAAATGTGAGCACAAGCCTTGATATCGGCCACCACTCTGAGGAAGGTAGAAGACAGGAAAAAGAAAAAGGATCAGGTAAACAGGAGCAAGACAAGAGCAGCCAAAGCAAAGGCCCAAGACGAATACACCAAAGCAATGAAGGAGGTAAAAGTCAGTGTACGGAAAGACAAAAGAAACTATGTAGATGACCTAGCGCGTGGGGCAGAGGAAGCAGCAGGGGCAGGAAACATGAGAGGACTGTATATGAAACCACCAAGAAACTTGCAGGCAGATACAAGAACGCAGATGTGCCAGTGAAGGATAAGTAGGGAAAGCTTCTCACAAATCCAGATGAACAGAAAGAACGCTGGAAGGAGCATTTCAAAGAGCTACTGAACAGACCAGGGCCAGAAAAACAGTGTGACATTCCACCAGCAGAGATTGATCTGAGGGTGAGTGAAGAAAGCCCACTTTAGAGGAGATCTAGGAGGCGATAAGACACCAGAAAGCAGGCGAGGCGGCGGCCCAGATGGAATTCCCCCATAAGTTCCCACGGCAAACATCAACATTGCGGCAGGGATTCTTCATGGAATTATTGGCAAGATATGGGACTGCGAAAAATTTCCACAGGATTGGAGTGAGGGATTGCTCGTGAAACTACCCAAGAAAGGAGACCTGCATGAGTGTGAAAACTACAGAGAAATCATGCTCCTTTCCTTTCCGGGGAAGATTTTAAGTCGTACCATACTGGAAAGACTGAAGGAAGCCGTGGATGCAAAGCTAAGAGAGGAGCAGGCAGGATTTCGTTAAAAGAGATCATGTACAGATCAGATTGCAACTTTGAGGATAATAGTAGAGCAGTCCACGGAGTAGAACTGTTCCCTGTACGTTAACTTTGTTGACTACGAGAAAGCTTTTGACAACCTAGGTAGGGACTCAATATGGAAGCTCCTGCGCCACTACGGAATACCAAGTTCGTTAGATTGATCAAGAAGATGTATGAAGGAATGAGTTGCAGTGTCTTACTTGGAGGGCAACGGACAGACTCTTTTGAAGTGAATACAGGAGTGAGACAGGGATGCCTGCTATCGTCTTTTTTATTTTATTAACAGTGGATTGGATAATGAGACAGACAACATCGGGACAACATGGTGGCATACAGTAGACCCTTTCCAGTCAATTGGAAGACTTGGACTTTGCAGACGACTTGGCACTTCTTTCTCACAGTCAAGCCCAGATGCAACAGAAAACTGATCGCCTCAGGACCTTCTCCCGTAGTGTTGGATTCCATATTCAAACGGATAAAACGAAAGTTCTACGAATGAATGCAGCCGACATTCCTATCACACTGCAAGGGGCACCATTGGCGGATTTTGAGTCCTTCACCTACCTGGGAAGTGTCATCAACAAGGCAGGGGGAACAGACGAAGACATCAAGGTCAAAATCCAAAAGGCAAGAGCAGCATTCATCATTCTCAGGAATATATGGATGTCTAAAGAACTGGGATTGAACACCAAGCTGAGGATCTTCAAAACAAACATGAAGACTGTTCTTTTGTATGGTTCAGAGACATGGAGGCTCACAGCATCAGCAGCAAGGAAACTGCAGAGCTTCGTAAATGGATGCCTACGAAGGAGTGTGGGGATCAAGTGGTATGATCGAGTCACTAATGCTCAACTGTGGGAAAGAACAAGCCAAAGGCCAGTAAAGGAAGACATACAGGTGAAGAAATGGAAATGGATTGGACACACCCTGAGGAGACCTCCGACAAGCATCATCAGGCTGGCTTTAAACGTGGAACCCACAAGGAAAACGTAAGAAGGGAAGACCAAAGATGACATGGAGGCGAGCGATACAAACGGAAACTGAAAAAGCGGGGACATCATGGAAACACATAGAAAAGGATGCTCAGGACAGGCTTCGCTGGAGTAATGCTGTTGATGGTCTGCGCTCCACTGGGAGTTAAAAATGTTTTTGCCTCTTCTTCGTGTCTCTTTTGAGTCATCGGCACGCTGTTCTTCCATGTTTATGCAACAATGTAAAAGGATGTTGTGAAACAGCATCAAGTCCCACAAATGATATTTTGCGAAAATATCATAACGTGTTTGTTCATGACATCATTATGACAAACCTAGATTATCTCAATTAAAGTCATATTTAAGCAAAACCATGAAACAGAGCTGAAAATTACCCTTCTGATGGGTCAATGTCAATCCAATGTTTAATAACAGTCATTTCTGGGGATAGTATGTTAAACAATTTGGGGTTTTTTTGACCTTGGAAAGACTGATGATGTAATTATGACACGAGTTATGAACAAACTTATTATATGTTTTACTCAGAAATAACATCACAAATATAAAAAATTAAAACCCTGTCAATGAACACATGGTGTTATGATGGTGTATACTAAATATTTTCAATGTTTGAATGCAGTTCTGTTTTATAGTTTAAGATTAACAATATTCTGTATTTAACATACAATTACATGTGCTCTCAAGATGAGTAAAAAATGCCCTATTTTTAGTACTGTCGAACCTGCCATGACGGCCACTTCTATAAGACGGTCACCTGTACAAATGGCCTCTTTCTATTCCCCCCCCTGCATTTTTTCTATATAATTTCACTGTTTAATATGGCCACCTGTCCAATGCGGCCGCGACCACCATATTTTAACACACAACCCCTATCACACTTAACGATAACTCCTGTCTTAGACGGCCACCTTTGTTTCTCCATTACGTTGTACCATAAACTATGTGTTGGCCCCTGGCGTTGTGGGCGAGTCTTCATTATCCAATCACCTGTTGTTGTTAGGTAGTCCCTCCAATCGATCATGTTGCGTAGGCCCCTCGCACTGTTGACCAATAGGTGACAAATTTTCTGCTGCTGGTGAAGTAAGCCACCGTAAGCGTGTGATCCCTCATAACCCATAAGCCCCACCCAGGACTCATACACAAATCGTTAGTGAGGTGAGCAGTCACTATTTACCCAGTCTTTGGCTAAAGGTAGATTTTTTAAACATGAGCCCGATCCTGAAAAGTAAAAATGTCTCAATGACTACCAAAATGAAAGCTCTGAAATACTATGTTGTGGTCAACCATGTTATAGGGCTGTGAAAATAAAATAAAAGCAATAGAAATGTGGTTTCTCTATGAGGCTGCTGAAAATATTGTCATCATGGGAGGAAAAGAAATCAAATGAGGGGGCACTTGAAGTTGAAGAAGCCTATTTGGGCCGCTCCCTGATAAAAGCAATCAGGAAAAGACAAATGCCGTTTCTGGGACACTAAATAAAATGAATTGAAAATGATTGCAACGAGGGCATGTCCCCCTGAAAACCCCCAGATTTTAAAGTCATTTTGGGCATTCTATGAAATACTTTTCCTGATAAGTTCAGAAAGTTTAATTTTGCCTCTCATTTTGGCAGTGTTCTTAGGCTTTCCAGGTTCAGCATTTGAGTTTTGCGCAAACAGACAGGTATGGTAGAATTTGGGGTGTTGTTATAGATCTAGATCTATCGAGAAAAACAAGATCAGCTTTCATTTTGTTACCACCTAGATTCTTCAATCCTGATTTGATGAAGTATAATAGTCAAAACATGCAGTCTGTGCAGTGTTAACACAGAAACACCATGATAGTATTCAATATTCAATGTCTTCTCTTCTTCTTTGTAAATGGACGGCCAAGTCTGTTATGCGAAGTCTGCTATTCGCAGCAGATCCTCCAGAGTCCCATTGAGTTTTGGGTCTCTTTGTCCACACTGACACTGCTCTGAGTTATTGGTCTTGAACTTCATGTAAAGGTAATGTTTCAGTTGATTGTTTCCAGTTCTTAGTCTTCTGAATAGAACCACCTGCTCTTGCTGAGAGGAGGTAGTAGATGTAAGCCTGGTTGAACTGTTCGTGTTGTTCCTTCCAATCTGCTTGTAGTCCCTTTTGATTATGGTTTTGGCCTCCGAAAGGCTTGCCCTTTTTCAGGTTGCTTTGATCAAGATCCTTCTTTTGCTGAGGAATCAGCTGTTTACTGAAAGATGTTGAAATGGCTACTGTAGTTACAGTGTTCATTAACTTGTGTGAGTTTTCTCTCGGTTGCTACAATTTCAAGGAATACATTAGATTACCTAATCAACTCTGTCCCTTTCAGTCCGAATCTTTGTGCTCAAATAAGGAACCCTCTTGTTCTTTGTCTAGAATCTTACTATGAATGAGCACTTTGTTGATTCAACACAAAAGATACTGAGAAACTTAGTTACTTTTATTGAAAGAATACCAGTACTGCACATTATTTACTTACATTTCATAAAAGAACAAAAACACTGTTGTCTGTGTGTTGTATTTATTGTCAGGACCAGGCAGTTTCAGGAAAATTTACTGAAATTTCATTTCTTTTAGGCATCTAATTATTATCTGTTTTTATTTTCCCTTTCCCAGCGATATTCCTGGATAACTTACAATGGCAAGCACTTCAGGGGACAAGTCGGATGACAAGGCAGGCTCCAGCTATGAAATCTCTGGATGTTACTGGTGAGGATAGCTTGGGCACTACTTGCCTTCAACAAATTTTCATAAGATCTATGTTCCTACAGGTTTTGTGGCTTTCATCACACAGCTACAATTTTAGGAAAATTGTTTCATTTTTTATTTTTCATATGGAGAGGTTGACACAAATGAACAATTAAGAATGGTACAGAGTGAAATCAAAAAGGAATGCAGCTGCTTTGAGGCCCACCATGGCTTTCAATTCACGCTGGAGATATCAAGTTGGTGTTAAAATATTGATTTTTCAATTTGTTCATCTCCAGACGGCAAAATGTGTCCTGAACACATTGAAGGAACCCATGAAATGAATATGAACAGGCCAATGATCTTCAATTGTCAGAATGCGGACATGAAATTATCCTTTGACAATGTGTTCTGTACTGGCATTTAAGTCAGTAAATTTCTACAAGCTAGACAAGTCAAGTTTTTGCTCCTTTTGGGTGATTTTCTCATTGTTAAATTTTTAAGAGAGGTGGGCTTAAAATAGTGTCTCAAAATCCTCCTTTTCAATCTCTTTGAATGCGAATTTATGAAAGTGTTTTGTGTTCCTATTTTCAGAGAGATTCACCCAAAGAGCAACAATTGCGTAGGTTGTAAACCGGAGTGGTTTTTTTTTAATAGAACAGAATTCTTCTTGTCGATAATTTTTCCCTTTTACATATCTGTCAAAGTATAATTAATTATACAAAATTCCTTACAACTTCAGTTTGTATGTTGTTGCTAATACTCATAGCAATTTTCAAGGATATTGACTTGAAAGTAATAAACTGGATAACATCATTTTGTGGGCCCGAGGCCCCAGTCTGACCTCATGCAGCAACGAAATGGGATTGAAGTTTCAACGAGTCCATCAGAATTTCTTAGTTGACCCTTTTTATCACAAGGAAATCATTTAAACTGTATTTCCAGCTGCTATTTTTTTTTTTAAAGCATTTTTGTTGTCCCAGTAGTGACTCCCCAATTACTTTCATTTGTGTCCTTGACCAAAACAAAACACAATAAAAATAGTTAGCTTTTCTTTGCAAATTGCAGTAGATCCTGTTTTGACCAACCAAGTACTTTAGATTCTCTAAGTGTTGCTGGACTGAGTTTACAGTTTGGTACAAGTCTCTTCCTTCAAGATTTGTGTAAATTGTGGTTTTCAGTTGCCTTCATTTGTTGCGCTTTTAAGATCCTCATTTAATCTAGTAGCACTACTGACAGTTTCTACTTTTAATCTAACGGAGTGTTAAAAGGCTCTTGTTATCTTCGTTAGATTTTCAATTGCTATTAGCTTGTGCAAAGTCTAAACTTTCTGTTTGAAAGTTCTGCTTCTTGTTTTTTTTTGGCCGACACTATTTCTCCGAACGTTGGGGAAAATAAAGCTGGGCACTATTTCTCAGAACACTCTGAAATCACATCCTTTCCTGCAAATTTCGGATATAATTTATAGATCTATGATTATATTATAGGCCTACCAAAAGATTGGTCGTGTACAATATGGTTCAATCGGTCCAAAAAATGTCCTCAGTAAATATTTATATAAAGAAATGTTACAGTTCCAAACAGTTTTTCGCCACAGATATTGACTTGTTGCCTATGAAGGGTGCTGCTCTTTAACTTAATGTGTTGTGTTCACTCGTGTGCTGTCTGGATCTAGATCTAAGGAGGGTTATTGATAACGACACATAGAACTAGCATCTGCGTTTGTCGCGGCCGCGACCAATCAATCGTGGCTCGATATTTTGGCATATTTTGGTCCCCGAGTCGGGGAATAAAAGTCAAAGAAAAAAAAAAGAAAAGAAACCGAACCTCCTGACTTTTGAAAGAAAGTTCACTAAGCTTCACTTCGTCTCTTTCTCATTTGTTGTCACCACGTTGATTTGTTGAATACGTTACAGTTACATACGATTTGTATTGCTGTTCCTCTTTTATTTTTCCTTCTTTAGTGGTGTTTTATTTTGTTGGCGTGTAATTTTTTTTCTTGTTATTGTTCTGATGTGTTGTTTTTCTATTCATTTTTTTTTTTTTTTTGTTGGGGAAAGGGGGAGGGGAATTGTATAGTGTAACGTCATTTAATTTGATGTTCCTACCTTCATTAGATTCTAAATATACATAGATTTAAATGTGTAATGTTAGAGCGTTCCATCAAAACCGATTACATGTACTGACACTGGCAGGCCCCTTGTGTGTGATTCCATAATTTACATGTAATATCCTGTACTTTTTTTAAAAATTACGCACATTTAGGGTTAAAACAGCCAATCTTCTTCGGACAGGTGGACACACGCCCTTATTTGTTAATTTTTGTGGTTGTTTATGGGCTGTTCTAATTTTGATTTCATTCTGTTGTGAAACCTTTCTTTTTCACATTTTTACACTCTTCTAAAAATCTCTAGACTAGCTCTTGATAATTGAAATAGATCTAGACCCAAAAATTTGCTCCTTCCCAGACCTCGCAGAATGGCAGAGTGAAAGTTGGCGCCGAACTCTCGCAAATATAGGCAAAAAATCACGAGGCGTTCGGAGAAATAAAGATTGGCACTATTTCTCCGAACGTTCGGGGTTTTTTTTCGTAAACATTGGTGAGGTTGAAGTTATGTATTTGCTTTTAGTCTAGGTTTTCATGGTCAGTATTAAATGTGATGCACTTAGGATGGTATTTTAATTTGTTGTTTTTTTATTTTGTTTCAGTGGGGAGAAGCGTAAACTTGGGACACCAGAGTTTCAGTGCATCAACTGTGGCACTTGGTTCCATGGGAGCTGTGTCAATGCTGAGCCGGGGTCAGTTCCACAGTCTTGTTTCGTGATGATGTTTGGAATTTTTCATTGTAATAGATGAGTATTCTTATTTTCCAAGTTGAAAGGAATAGAGTCACAAATTTAGACATTTCGATTGTCTCCATTATTGTAAACTTAAATCTATCTGTGTTTATCTGCACTCTAACGTAAAGCAAGTTAGAATCATTCATTTTTGTCATCATTTATATGTCCAATGATTTTCTTGCAACTGTTTTCCTTTGCCATACAGGAAATGTCTCCCTTTCATGATCAGCTACCAGTTCCATTGTAAACGTTGTAGTGGAATTGGCCATGAGATGTTCTCCAAACGCCAAGCAAGTATGTTCTTTTTAATTTCTTTTTTTACTTTTAAATCATTTTTGTTTCTGTAGTTAACTGCTTTTTAGAAATTTACATGATTTATTGAAAAGCTTTGGCTTTTCTTTACTTATAAGCATATAATTCATTGAGTCAGGTCGAGATGACGGCATAATTGTCATCATGTAAAATCTTTAATTAAAGAACTTATTGCTTCTTGTCTTCATTTTTTATTTGGCAGTGAACAAAAATACTGTGATTTTTCTGTTCCTTTTTTTTTTTTTTTTTTTTGTGCAGTAAATTCAGATATCAGTCACTCATGTCCATTCACTTCTCTGTGTCCCACCACCATGTTCCAGCTTTCATCCAGATCTGTCAGATGACGCTTGCTAACCTGTTGCACAATTCTCGCTCCGACGGAACTAATACCACCATGTTCTCCAAGGAACGGGTTAGTTATCTTTATCTTTATGTTTATGGGTTATATCATTCTATTTTCTGTTGGATAAAATACTTGTTATTGCACAGTGTTAACATCATCATAACTGTTCTTAAAAATTAGTTTGTTTTTGTATAGTATGAAGGGGATGTCAAATAGATAGAGCAAATTTTGAACTTGTCATTTTCCTTTAATATGATCAACTTTTGCTCTTAAAAAATAAGTTTATTTTTGTATAGTCTGAATGATGTCAGTAATGTAGGGATTCTGCTCAAGGCAGTTTACACTGACATCTAAGAATATCTTTTCCCTTTCTTCTTCATAAGTGTTGCTTTGGCGAATAATCATTTCAATGGTCCCTTTGTGATGCAACGAGAACTCTGAAAATTCTTGTAGAGTGCCTTTCCCAAAACTCAACGTCAGGCCATTAAACCCATGACCTTTTGTTTACAAGCCTAACACCTAACCTCTAGACAACAAACGCCACAGGGTGATATTGTTGTTTTTTTTTCCAGGATATTATTCCCTTCATTGACAAACATTGGGAGAGTCTGACCACCATGCAACGTCGAGTGAAGCTCACCTGGCATACAACCATCTACAAAACAATGGTCAGTGACATGAAATATGAGAGAAGAATGGTGATGTCTTTTTTTTCACTGCAATTTGAAAAACTGACCAGTAGATTACCACTGATAAACTTTCAAGAGGCGGACATCGTAGAAAGCTTTCTTCTATTGGTCCTGTGTTCATATGAAGAAAACGTGTGATGGATACTATGCCACTGTAAAATTAAATTCTGTCTTTGGTCACTGGGAATGCAAATACAGTGGAAATTGTCTTAGATTGCCACCTATTGTTTAGGAGAAAAGTGTCTGTCTTAGACAGTGGACATCCTACAGAGTGTCGTTATAATGTTTAAAAAGAAAACAAAAGAGGTAAATGGGAAGTGGCTGTTTGTTCAGGTGATTGTTTTATGTAGGTGGCTGTTAGAGTAGGTATGACCGACTATTTTACATTTAAGTGTCTGACTCTAAACCCTCTCAGTGGTGTCTTGGGAGCCCCATTAGTTGAGTAGTTATTGTACACTGGTTCTCAACAAGGTTGATGAACCTGCTTTTTGATGGGTGATCTCTGGGGTGTGTCCTTGAGCGAGACATGTTGACCCTATATAAAGGAGCTGCTCTGCGGAGCTCAGTTGTGGTGTATTAATGTTATGGTCATTCTTTCTTAAGCATTAATCGTTAAACAAATCTGCCTGTGGGTTTGATAAAATCTTTTCTTTTTATGTACTTGTTTTTCTTTTAGAGCCAGATAGCATGTCTTAGAATAACTCTGCTTTTACTTCTTTATAAGTGTATAAGTGTTCCTCAGGTTAATCACTCATTTTAATGGTCCCTCTGTGATGCAACAAAAAACTAAAAATAACTCCAGACTCCAGGGGTTACATGGAGTGTCTTGTTGCTTTTCTTTAAGGGGAGGAGCGACCCTTGATTTTGCAGATTTTGGGTCAGGCTATGCACTTTTAGATATTGGCTGATTTTTGAAGATCAACCAGTTCTTTGTTTTAAAACTGCATGTTGACAATTGAGGAAGTCTTTATTCTCCTCGTAAATTGCCTTTGAAATCATGAGAGTGGGTTAATATAGTGAATTTTCACAATATTTGTCGTTTTTCGCGAAATGTCATTTTTTGGCAGTTTTTTCCCTATTCCTTCCTTAGTTTATTTGCGAAAAAAATAACTATTTTACATTGGCAAGCGGTTACGAACCTAAATTTAGAAAAGGTTTTTTATGCTTTGGGAAAATTCTCACTTTTCATTTTCTTTTCCATTTATTGAAAAAAACTCGCTGTTACGCTGATAGGGTCTAGTTCAGGTATACTCTCACCAAATTTGGCCTGTAAATAAGAAAGCCATAAGGATTTGAAATTCATTGTTTATTTTCAAGATGACGGCCGTTTCCATAGGTCATAGATTTTACTACGCCAACGCCTAACTTATATATGTACTTATATTTGATCTCGGGCAACAAACGTAGAAAATGGTCCTCAAGGGTCGCTCCTCCAGTTAACAATCCATGTAAAACTAAGAGTGTCCCACTCCCATATTTAAAGCCATGAGAGGATTTTTGTTTAAGTTCTGTATCTTCAGTGAATCATGTGTCAAAGGTGTGACAAAGTGTATATTCGCTGCAATTTTTTAGATGCTGTTGTGAGTTTACTTTGTTGAGGTGTCAGGTCATACAAAGAGGTACTACAATGCCGGACAGTTTGACATGGCTGTGGTTAGAACTGTGACAAATTTTCAACTTACAAAGTGCTATCTAATTTTTGTTTTACTTTTGTGGTTTTCTGTACTCAAGAGTTATTTTCATGACAGGAAGTAGGTATGAACAGCTTTAGTGTCATAATCTTTTTTGTCACTGTTGACAGACCAAGGAAACGGACATCTTCACTTGTCAAGAAGAGACTCCAGGAGATGCATATTTCGGTTTGGTCAACCAGGTCTGTCCAACTTGCATATATATTATGTTTCAGTAGATGGGATCCTAGGCACAGTCTTCTACCTAAATTGTGCTAGTTACTGACTTGATCTTGGGCAGAAAGATCTCGTTTAGTACTGAGAACATGAGCATTGTTCAGAAATTGTTCTATTGAAAAGCATAATTTTGAAATATTAAAAAAGTTTTAGTCCACTGTAAATATATTTTTCCTTTCCTTTTCCACTTAGTTCATGGCATATCAGTGCCATACTCGTGTAAGTGGGGCCATGTACCTAGGTCAAACTGCAAAGTTTGGTTTCTCCTCTTTTACTTAAAAGTGAGAAGTCTTGAACTTATTATATCTAGGGGAGTTGTAAGGATTAATGTCCCGAAAGGTTTAGTAAAAAATTATTTTTCTTTTTGTCGTGTAGCTGTTGGGCGCGCTCTGTCAATTTGCGCGATCCACCGACCGCGCAGTGCATTTGGTTGATCGAGGAAACGCGCGACAATCCATGAATTGTTGCACATTCTGTTGATCAGCGGATCGCGCAGCGCTTTTTGTCGATCCGTTTGGTTGCGCATTCTATAGATCTTATCCCTGAGTTTTGTTATGTTTTGATGTCGTCCAGTGTGTAATTTAGTTTCACTCTCCAAAGTCAAACCGAAACTGAATGGAAGTAACTGGAAGTCAGGGTTATAATAATGAACTAATCAAAGTGACAATTCGAGTCCGAATAGACAAAAATTATATTCGGACTCTGATTTGAGTCCAGTATGATGTCCGTTCCGACTTCTGACCCTTGTTTCTAAATATTTCCTGCATATATAATAACATTTTTTTCAATTATAATGATAACAATTGAGACGTGAGCTTTATATCCAGTTACTAGATCAATCTAAACTGACCCTCCCTGCGTCATTAGTAAGAACAAAACTAAGTTGAGCTGACCTTGCCGGGGGCAAAGTTAATTGTTTCGACCAATGAGACTGCGCGTAGCAATCTCGCACTCTCAGCTTATGGGGGAAGAGGTGTTGGGAAGGGGCCACGGCTGTTGGTTTTGTGCGATGTGATTTTTAAAAAAAATTACAGAAAAACTCAACACTCAACAAAATCAAATTAAAATGTGGAAAGAAAAATGGTAGCGGAAATAGCGATGATGCTGTAGTGGTGGTGGAAAGACCCTGAGTTGTCGGTTATCGTGTACTTAGACACTGCTATTGGATAGATCTAATGAGAGTGCAATCAGGGTTAGGCCTATACTTATAGGTCGGTGAGTATCACTCCGAACACTTATTCAATATGGAGAGTTTGGTTGTGCTCGAGGTGCTCTTGTTCAAGGAAACAATAACGAAAACAATACTTGTATATATGATAAATGTTTAATCAACACACAACAATTTATCACAAGCCATTAAATCTTGACCGTATTTGGAATACCACGTGAAGTACGCAGCCAATCACATCCATCCAAATACTGAGTTCAGGTGCTCGATTTAACGTCGTGTCAATTTGACCGCCTCACTCAACCGTCAACACTTTAAGTTCATCACACAACTCTTCTTGGATGCTCAAACTCAAAGACTTACGTGCTCAGTAAACCAATTTTCTTTTTTTTTTATTCACTTCATCGTCATAGTTTATCGACATAATGCGCAGTAAGTATATATTTCACGGATCGACAAAAAGCACTGATCGACAGAATGCGCATCAATCGATGGATTGTTGCGAGTTTCCTCGATCAACCAAATGTGCGGCGCGATCGATGGATTGCGCAAATCGACAGATCGCGCCCAACATAGCAACATTTCAAAACATGTAATAATCAGAGGACATCTGTTTTTCTTTTTAGTTACCATACACTATAGTGTTACCATCTTTAGAGACGAGTAATGGTTACAGAACATCTTCTGTGTTTTTGTATATCACAAACTTTAGAGAAATCATGTTTTTAGGAACACTTTTTTTTTTCATATGTTATTGTATTTCAGTAGCTAGAGAGTTCTAACATTGAAAGTGTTTTTTTCTCTCTTTTTGTCATTTTATTTTTTTGGGGGGGGCATTTAGTTTGTTTACAGTGTATTTTTCCTTGTAAGTCACAGTCTCATCGACTTCCCTTCGATTGTAGGAAAGAGCCATTGGTGAGGTCCTGGGCCTTTTCCTCTTTCCCTCTTGTGGTACTGTATGTTCTTTTTTTTTTTTTTTGGCTTTTTGTTAGCACTGACTGCAAATGTGTCTGTTTTCTTCCCTTTTCTGAAACCAAAAACCAAAGCAGCTTTTTATGTACTTCCCAGGACCTGTCTAAGATTGGGCCAGTGTCAGATGCGGCCAGAATGGCCAACATACCGTCCCAAGGGTTGAAAGCTCCTCTACTTCCCACAGAGACTGGTCCAGGTGGGATGTCTACAAACTTTGCTGAGAAGCAAAAAGTCTATGTGAAACACTTTTCCCCACACCACCCACCAGCCCTCGTCAAAATCTTCTTTTTAATTCAACAAGGAATAACTTTGATCATTGCAGATGCTGTCTCTCATGTTTTACTTTCCTTATCTCCTGTCTAGGCTCTTTTGCTTCTGTATTATTTTCAAGCAGTCTGTTAGTGCTTGGGGCACATATGTCCGGCAATGAGCCTTGAGATGAGCAGTGATTGATTCAACTTGTCATGATGTCGTGACCGTCTTTTTCATTCCTTATCATAAAGTTGATGCAAAAAAAACAAGACTGTGGGTGGTTGGCGACTGCTCTGGTGTGGTTAGCTTGTTATTTCCTATCAAACAACTATCGTCTTTATCTCTCCTCCTTCTTTTTTATATTGGTTAATATCTTGTAACACCTCTAATATTCGGCACTTATATGACCTTAGTGTGTTGCGGGGGTGCCATAAAACTCTACTAAAACTTTCTAAAAACCTAAAAATAAACAAGACTGTGACTTAACTAGTCAATATAAAATGAGCTGTCCCTGATTTTAAGCTTTTTTTTTTTTGCCGCCCAATAGGAGAATTATTTCTACTAGAAAGGTTTTTGAAAGAAATCAAGAGTGTTCAATGGGTTATAATATGTTTTTCAGAAAATGATCTGCTGTTGGGACTAATTTGAGTACTATAGCACGGTCAAAAATTTGTGGCGCAACTTATCCTCAAATAGCCCTGTAACGAGTGAATCAATGTCATCCATACTTTGCACATCCAATTTGTCTTAACTGAATCATATTTTTCCACATTTCAGGCTAGATTTTTAAAAATTTCTTCGTAAATTTATTTTAGATACTATAAATCTCCGTCATACGAAAAATGGGATTGTTCACAGCACTTCTCACACTCATTTTGCATATATCACGTTTTGTCTCCTGCACAGGAAAACGCACTAGCAAGAGGAAAGCACCACCTGACAACCAACAGACCACTGCACTGAAGCAAAAACGCAAGTACGTGTATTAGTCAAGAATAATACAAGTTACTGGACTATCATAAGATTACATTTTTTTAGAATATTCAGTTTGATACCATATGGACATTGTTATATCAAAAGTTCAATATAGAGTTTTGTCTATTGATTTATTCAGTATGTTTTAAGAAAGATGATTTTTTTGTTCTTCTCTGGGGTCGGACTTACAGTAGCTTATTTTACACGTTAGTAAGAGACCTTTGTGTACATCATGTGAAGGATTTAGGTTCTGGGAATGCTTCAACTTACAGAGAAGAGACTTGAACTGTGTTTCTGAATGAGTATTGCAGATACTTCATGACTGTAGAGGAAAGGGTGGAGTGGGGACATTGCTAGGTACAGTTAAGGATGTGTTACACTTGAATATAGGCCTATGATTTAGTACTACTTTACATTCTATGAAAAATGTCTTGTCTACTACCTCTGAGTCCAGGAGGGGTGGTGAATAGTATATGAATGAGGCATTTTTTTTAGAAATGCCAGTTTATTCTACAAATACTACATAAAGTCGGAATGGACAATTGAATGGCAAAGGAGCAAGACGTTCAAGGCCTTCGTTTCTCAAATGTTGGAAAAGGAAGTTAAGAAAAAAAGGGAATGTTCTTTCATAAAATGGTTTTCTGTATGTTGAAGCATACCTAGATGTTAAAACTTATTGATGAGTGAACTCTGAAGTGCGATGCTCCCGCTTTCTGTCAGACGTTATCATCATTCCCTCCGCAGTGACAGTAGCACCTCCCTCAAGCTGCCCGCTCACGGGTACCCCTTGGAGCACCCGTTCAACAAAGATGGTTATCGCTACATCCTGGCCGAGACAGACCCGCACGCCCCAAACAGACAGGCTTTTGATGAGAGTGTGGAGTGGGCTGGCAAGCCTATACCTGGCTACCTCTACCGTTGTATGCAGGGACAGGATGTGCTTTTGGCTCTACATGACAGAGGTAAGTTGAAGCTCGAGAGGATAGGGACATGTGGCCTGTGCTGTTCTGGATTGCTGTGTACTTTAACTGCACTACAGCTAAACCCCTTTGTGACACAGGGTCAGTTCGTGCTTCATCAGGCACAGTTTTGAATTCCCATAGTCACAGAGTAGTGCTAGATTTAGTGGTCAGTTTCCTATATTTAGACCCGGTTTGAATTTTCTACTAGCTATGTCTAAGAGAAAAAGATTTCTTTGTACGAAAAAAATTTTGCTGAATGTGAATCTGCGATTAGTTTTGCAAAATGCATCTAACAGAAGCAGTATGTAGAATACAACCTATGATCCACAAGGCATGACAAACGTCGTATGTCACAGCAGCATCTTGACTCTTCCGCCGTATAAGAATAAATGACAAATGATGTACGTCATATAAGTCACGCAGGGGTTAAGAAAATGATTAAATGTGACCTATGCTGTTTTGGAGATCTAGTTTGTCTTTCTTCTAATCAATAGTGTGGATCTGACCCTTGTTCTGTTGCTTTTCAGTTTCTGGCTTTCATCATCATCATCATCGTCATCCGAAGCCTTCTTCTTTCCAGCAGGAGCTTAGGCCACAAACAATATCTCTTTTAAATACCATGTTCTGGGCCTTGCTCATTTTCCTACCCCAAGTCACTAAATATTCCTAGTTCAGTCATTGGAGCTGTTCATTTTTTGTTTCTTGGTGGACCTCTTTCTCTCTACAGGTGGCATGTGACATAGCCAGGGTCTTTATGGAGCATAAAAAAATGCTCAACCAGCTTCCATTGCCTCTTTCTGATCACAGCTTCTGTTGATTTTTGCTTTGACCATCGCCAGATATCACTATTTCTAAAATTTTGGGACCAATGAATGGAAAGGATTCTCAGGAAGTGAGTTTTTAGGAAGGTTTTTTAAATTTAAATGCCGTCAAAGTTCTGTAGTGTATCAGAGTCAGTAGATGCCAGTGGTCAGTAAATTAGTACAATGTGCTACAGCTTTGTTTTGATTGTCCTGATGGCTTGTTTTTACTGACTTTTACAGCCCCACAACTGAAGGTGTCTGATGACCGCTTGACAGTGACCGGGGAAAAAGGCTACAGTATGATCAGGGCATCTCATGGTGAATATCTCTACTGTTCACTGTTGTAATTTTTATGTCTGCCATCGGATGGGCGGTGGGCGCTCTGGTTTTATCTGTTTCTTTTTTGCTTCTGTTAATTTTTTTACCTACCTTCTAATGAAGTATGGCAGTTATTACATTATTATGCTTTGAGAGTACTCAAAAGACTTAAGTTCTTTTTTTTTTTTTGTAAGTGTTTTACGGCGCTCACAACTGCATCAGGTCGTATTATGAGCACACAGGACATACTTAACATTTTTAGGTGGTAGGAAATTTTGAATTTTGTGCAGGTGACGGCCGAAGCCAACTCTTATCAATTTCGGACCACCGAGGGATCTTTAACGTGCTCTCCTTCCACACAGGACCTCCGAGAAGGGGTGTGGCTGAAAGACAGCACACGGCGTACGAACAGTGCCTTTTAGTTGGATCGGCGATGGAGTGACCGGGTCACGGCGGGCCGGTCACCCAGAGGTCACTAACCCGCCCTCCCGCTACCTACGTCGGTAGCCGGTGAAATGAATTTTTCAACACATGTTTTATCGTCTTACACAAACAAAAAATATCATACGTGAACACAACTTTGTTCTTTAGAAAAAGCAACTAAACCTCTTTATTGGTATGAAATAGCAATACCATGGCTGCTCACGTTTTTGAGTTAGATGCTCTTAAAATGTATGTCTATTTAAAGTTAGTCAAAACAGCAAACACATATTGAATGGCTAATAACTTATAAGCCTAACGATAAATATTTACAAAACTGCCACGTAAGACAGGAAAATGTGTTTACAAATTGACTCACTCAAAATTTGGTTTCCAGCACGAACATGGAACTTGTCATGAGCATGATAGCCAAAACGCTTCCCTGCATTCATGACTTTTTGTATCCAATGGATTGTGTACCCTCCTGAATAATGATATAGACGTATCTTCAATATACAGCACCGATTTCTTTTCACAAAATGAACATGTACAGAATAAAACTATAAATTTATACAATTTTTCTTTCTAAACATATCCAGCAGCACGCAATGAGGGAGCTATTTGCAGGAGATGCTACACAAAAAATAAAACGCATTATGTCTATCTGGTTTGAGATCTTTCGTGCTCTGGCTTCCAGTTTTGAGATCGCTTGGTGGCTGCTTTCTGTGTCCTGTTCTCCTAAAAGCCCGAGAGCAAACATGTGTTGTTGTATGTGTGGAATACAGTGTTGCTATGATATGTGTGGCTTCGGGGAAATAGCGTCTGAATGCGGACATGTAATTGTCGATTGCTAAGAAGATTTGTGGAAGTGAAAATTGTTTGACTGGTTTGAGATGTGATATTGCAGTGTAAACATGGCTAAATCTTTCATTGAGAAGATTGAATATTGCTTCCAGTCCACTTGCTTCCTCAATTTTTGCAGTTTCGCGGGAGTATTTTCTTGTTTCTGTACAAATTGTGTTTGTTAGTTCCTTGCATACATGGGGATGGAGGGAGGTATGCTTGGGGTGTTTTACAATGTTAGCTTGAAATGGATCTTTGTATGCAGCCACCTAAGCGGTACCGACAAAACGGAGAAGGAAATCACATTTATGCTATTGTCAAACGCACACCACATGTTTCTACTAGTGTCAACTGCTTTTTTGCGGCATGAATTGACGTGACGTAACACCATATCTCCGTTTGATAGTTGAAATCGTGGCAAAACACTTGACACAAATGTTAGCGGAATACGACTGTTCATTTTCGTCCCTCACATCAATCCCATAAACCAAGAGAATATCTCCTGTCATTGTCTTACATAATCGGGGCTTTCTGTACTTTTTTTGTTTGACAGTTAAATTTAAACGCCAACACACCCGACAAAGTTCATTCAGAGACTATATGCCTCTCATATGTGTGACTGACCCATTGCAGTTTAACGATTTTTACTTAGGAACACAATTCAATAACTGATTGCCAGTCACTGCAAAGTGCTGGAAAAACAAAATTCACATCATTAGAAAATATGATTTGATGGCTATCACACCGCGAAAACAGAAATAAAGACCATTGTTCCATTCTCGAATGATTTGTAATTAAATTCGAAGAGATAACATTATTAACGGCGCTTCCGATCACTTAACACTCACAATTTAAAACTGTTATTATTCCCAAACGAATCAATGTAGACTGTTGAAACTTTCTCAAGATATCAAGAAGACGTAGACGAAGCGGAATTGGTGAAGAAATAGATTCTAGGGGTAGAATGAGCATCATTTTACGGCTCATGAAATTAGGGGAAGAAACGCATTCTGATAAGGACAAGATAGGACAGCGCTGTGCACGAGTTGACCCCGGTCAATCCCCAACTTGACGCGTGAAATTGCAGGTCACCTGCCGCTAATTTATGGCCTACCGCGGGGGGCCCGGACTAACTAAAAGATCGCTGAGACGGAATTTCGGACGCCGTGAGCAGTAAAAGGAACCAAGGAGAAGCTATGGAAAGACCTCAGAAAGAGTCCAGAGCACAGAGGGGTGGGGCAAAGGAAGTGAGGGGGTGGGGGCAGAAAGTTTGAGACGCAAGCAGACGACAGAATATTGCTAGAGAACCGGAAAGGAGATGAAGAGACAATTTTAGAGAAGAAAATGTTTCCGCAGCTACCCGGATATGAACCCGGGACCTTTGAATGAGAGGCGAACACCTTGACCTCTAGGCCACGAGAGCCCCCAGACGTAAGTTCAATTCCCACATAGCTGCCACTTTCCCGCTAAATAGCGGAAACTCCGCTACCCTCACTTCATCTAGCTTTTCCCGCTCCTTTCCTCCTTTTTCCGCTGAACTGCGCTCGGTCGCATATTGCGATACTTTTTTTTACACAACGAAAGCGCGGCTTGCGCATGTCCGCCTGTAGCTTCCTACTTCCGTTCTGTGCCTAGTTTCACATTGTTTATTGTGGAGCGACAGTGTCGACTGTCGATCGAGCATCGGTATGATTTCAAGCCGAGTTGTCATTGAAAACGGCGGAAATTCGAGAGAAATTGATGCAGAATACAAAAATAAATGGAACTGGATTGAGAGAGAAGCAGGCTGTGTGCGACTTCAACAGTTCATTGGAAATTTGAACAAGCCAGGCGCTGCACTTGTGTGTTTGGTGCTACTATAAAGAAATATCGTAGATCTACAGTGGCAAAGGTGTTTCACCAGTGTTTGCCTTCATAATTATTCCAGTACGGTACTACTCTACATCATTGCACAAGTTTAAAGTGAAAGAAATCTTTTTATGAGACACTAGTGGGCAAAAAAAAACACTGGTTTTTTTTTTTGGTCACCAAGCTGGGTCAAATGCTTGTTAGTCAACTTAGTGTCTTGGGGGTGATTTTTTTTTTTCAAATAGTCTACAGTATGGTTAACAATATGACGCTTTTCCCTTCCAAAAACAGAGATGTTCCAAGATTATATTGCCTCTGGATATCACTGGTTTTACTCAGGATTTCGGAGAGCACGCGCACGCCTTTGTGACGCGTGAAATTTCTCCTTTTTTGAAATTCCTGAATGGCAGCTATGTTCCCAAGAAAGGAAGTAATTTCAAAGAGTGTCTCCCACTACCTGCTCGGGATACTGTATTCTACTCCGCCCAGGGTCACCCCTGACAGGAGAAGCTGTACAGGCCAATAGAGGAACTTAACAGGATGGCCCAGTATATGATAGGCACTGCTCTTCAAGTGTGAAGCAATCAGGAAGGAAGAAGAAAAGACCCTTGACAGGCAGGGTTGAAACAACCCATCATCTAAATGTTCCTAATTGTGTGGACAGATTGTAAATACTTTTCTATCAGATTACAATGAGAGGAAAAGAGATGAAAGTTGTGTATCTGCCAATGCAAAGTTTTCCTCATTGTTTTGTTTGGTTTTACCACCTTTGATCAATGTGTATGTTGTTTTCTGATCTTGCACCATCAACTCTTTAGAAAATAAGTTTTATAGAGTATCAATCCATTTGAAAGTATCAGTCCATTTGAGCTGGCTTCAGCGATACAGTCAAAATTTTCCCTGGTGACCACCCATTTGAGAGAATAAAAGTGGTTATCTTAGACAGGTGGACATCTTGGACATTGACAATAATATTTTTAAAATGCAAGTAAGGAGATGGAATGTAGTCATTTGTACAGGTAATTGTCTTAGGCAGGTGTCTGTTAGACATAGAATTTGTTCATGTAGCCTTAGTAATAAATGAAATATCTCTGGTAATAAACTTTAAGCTCTCAGTGGGAAAAAAAAAAATTACATATACTTTCAGACAGCGGGCATATGTTACTTTCAGAAAGAACATACCACCTCAGACACCGTCAATAATTTACTAACTTCTTTTCCTGTTGCATTTTCACCCTTTTTTGTTTGACAGGTGTCAACTATGGCAACTGGTACTTTGAAGTACGTGTGGATGAGATGGTCAACGAAGCAGCCACCAGACTCGGCTGGTCACTTTCATTAGGTGAGAAGACTGTTATCCATTCAAGTGTTAACTTTCTTTTTCAAGGTATTTTATGCTTGCATATATATGTGTGTATTTCATGTTTATGAAAATTTAGGAACTGCTTAAAATCTGGTACTAGATGAAGCTTTTTATTTAGTCTAACGCCATATTATTTTGATGTGATAGGTATTTGTCCCTTTTATATGAGTCCAAAGGACTGTGACATTGAAAATGGGAAAAAAAATTTATTTAATTCACAGGTGAATAGAAAATATATGCTGTGCATTTGATGATTACAATCATTATTATTTGGTTGCACAGTTGCGTATGATCTGATCTAATGAGACTCTAAAGTTTTTCATACATTTGGAAAGTTTTATCCGTTATTATTGAGGTCGAGATAGAATCTACAGTTGGAAAAAAAACCAAAAAACACACACACAACAAAAGATTCCGTCTTGTTAAGTACATCTAATCTATTTTACTTTAAATGTTTGTCATTTTTTTCTTTATACACCCATTGTTTTTGTTTGTCTGTCATTTCTCTCTGTGTACACCCTTTGGGTTTCAAATTGATATTCAAATATATATATGTTAGCGAGACCGTGGCGCGTGGATTTTCAGCTATTTTTTAAAAAGTTAAGTGGCATCCCTGTTTTATTCAGGTTGTGACTTTATTCTTTTGCCTCCTGGTCTGTGTTTCTAGATGAGTTGCAAAAGATGTAGTGTCATGTAAATCGTCAAGCTCAAAAGATACGACAGCTCGTTGTTTTGCTAAGCCAGGATAATAATTTGCTGCTTTGCGTCCTGATTGGGGTTTTTTTTTCTTGTCATATCAGCCCAGATAAAGTGAGTTACTGTTAGAAAGCAACAATTTCCAGTTTGATTCCTATGAGTAACTCACTTTATAATTTGTCTTCTGTTTTGACTTTCTTCTTTTTGTAAAATGACAATAAAGTCTCAACCTGCCCCTTTAAGTTGCTGCTTAATACCCTTTTGTGTCTGTGTGATTTTGATTTTTATCAGGTCTTTTTTCTCTCCTTGACACCATGACCTCTAGTTGACTGCCAAAGATTCATTTGTAGCCCTACAATGTTGTTCAGTTCAAGTTTCTCACTCCCCACTTGGGCGTAGTGTGGTATGGTTTGCTCAGAATGGTGTTGTTGGTATTTTTCTGACGGGATGGAAAGTTTTCATAAGATGCCAGGCCTCTCGATGAGCTGGCTGCAGAATGGTAATTTGTTGTCAGGGTGTACCCTCAGGTTCATTATTGTAGCAACCATGAAGTTCTAAATGAAGTAATGCTGAATGTCCCTGAATTGGTACTGTTGAGTGAACAGGTCAGCCAAAGGAATTTTAGTGAGCCTTCAGCAGGAACGTGGCTATACAGAGGCACTTTAACTTTCCGATTTATGAAATGTTGCCGTACTAGGGTGTTTTAGTTTTAGTGATTTTTGGTGAAATTTGATACCTTTTATGGTCAGGCTTTCGGGACAAGAAATAACATGAAATATTTTTCAGCAGTCACTGTTTACACATGATTTCCATGTATGTTGTGGGCAACTTTTGCTTGGTTGTTCATTACAGACTGCTGACAAATCAGTGTCTTTCCGCCCAGATTTTTTTTTTCCATCTGTTTTTTTAGAGTGTTCCCTGGTATAATTTTGATATCTTCTTAAGCTGACACAGTGTTTATGGTCCTAGTGTTGTTGGTGAACTACAATTCCAATGTAATGTGTTATTAGAACAGAGTTGCCAGAATTTCCCCAAATGAATTTCCTGAAAGTTTTTGTTATTATGGTCAAGCCTTCCTGTTAAGCGTACTGGTATCTTTGGTGAAGCGGTCAGGTGATTCGCTGTCACACACAGAAGACATGAGTTCATTTGTGGAGGGTTTTTTAAAATTGATTATCTGAGTGTCAGCTTTGATGTTGCTTGCCTCTAAGCCTAGGTTAGCCCCCAACAGGCAAGGTTGAAGCAGCGTGCCTCCTGAAATGACCTTAGTTGTGTCGATATCTACAACTACTATCTATAACTAGCATTTGTTTTGCTTTGTGACAGGAAATCTACAGGCTCCATGTGGTTACGACAAGTTCAGTTACTCGTGGCGCTCTCGCAAGGGTACAGCCTTTCACCAGTCTAAGGGACATCACTACCATGATGGAGGCTATGGACAGGGGGACGTTCTCGGCCTCTACATCAGCCTCCCAAAACCTGATGATGCTACCATGTTGCTGCCGCAGACCTTCAAAGACAGAGTGAGTTTTTATTGTGCAAAGGTGTTTTTATCTATAGGAAACATGCAACTGAATAAAAGCTTCAAATCAAAATTAATATACAGCTTAATGGGATTTATCTACTTTGCTGACCGATTTGCTGTAATTCCTACTTGGGACCCCTTTCCTCATAACTTTTTGTCTAGGCATCTCCACATGGTGTGATAATATACACATTACCTCTTTTTGTCTACCCAACTACATAACTCTCCCCTTCTCCCCCCGCCCTCCCCAGATTTAGCATTCAGAATGCCTTCACTTCATAAGTCTGAGTCCTTATTGCATTACTGGTTTCCTCTCTGTAAAATTAAGGGGTACACCACATGCCAAATGTGTATAGCAAAAATAATTAGTTACATGTGACCTAAAATGTGTCCTTTTTGTTAGCTGCATACCGGACAAAAAGCTTTGCATGAAATTCATTGTGTTAAATCAGGGTCTGTTTGAGGGCTATTGCAAATACTATTCAATCTTGACTTTTGTGTGTCTGCTGTTATGCTCAGCAATTTTTCCCTTTATGCATTACATTTTACGTCTTACTGACTACTCTGTCCATGTATGTATTACACCCAAATATGCGACTTCTTTTCTTTGATGAGCTTCTTAATAAGACACTTTTTTTGTGTTTGTTTGTATCTGGCCTTTTTGGGGAGTTATATATAACGTATATATAACGTATTTGTGCTGACATTCCTGCTTCTTGGGTCAAGGGTGCTGGCAATAATTCCCCATTGTAGGCTATCAATTCGCATTATATATCCAGCCTTTAATTTCCATAAAATTGTGTGTCTATTTATCTCCCTTGGAGGCCATCACTTGGAGATCTTTCTTTTCTTTCTTTCTGTTGTTTCTGTCTAGCTTGTTTTTTTCTTGCACTAAGCGGCCGTTATTATGTGGAAGTGCTTCCCCTCACTCCAAATAAAATAGCCCTCTCTGTGTCTGACAAATTCAGCTTCCACTCAACATGAGTGAAGTTTTGTTTTTGTGCATAAAGATTGATGTTTACTGTAAGAAGGCCATGATCAACTTTTCCAGCTCATTTAGCATCTCATGTGGTCACTGACGGATAGCACACAGGGTAAAAGCACAATCCTTTAAGCTTACTGGCAATGCGGAACCAAATTTTTTCCTATATAATTATCGCTCTCAAGTGCAAGATCAAAATTGACAACTTCATCTAACTTTATCTAATAGCATGATGGTTCCTGTGCTAGTGTAAGAAATTACTAATTTCACTAGGAACTGATGGAAACACCACATGTCCTCTTTCACTACTTCAAATTGCAACTTTGCCAGGGAGAAAAAGACATAGGGACATAGTGCAAGACATAATTGCACAATGAGGAAAGCAGGTGCCCAGCCATTTCATGGCAGGCAGACAGTGTGAGAGGGCTATGCCATGATTATGATGGCTGTTGTCTGTGATTGCTCAGCTTAAGAAAACTTTATACCATTGGGTGAGCTCTGCTGATCTGTTGCAAGGTGGTTCACAACAGTCAATGAAATCAGACAGAATACAACTAAACTTGCTCTATGGGTGGTTGGCGGGTGCTCTGGTGTGGTTTGCTCCTTCTTTCCTATCAAACATCTATCGTCCTTATCTCCCCTCTTACTATTTTGTGTTTGTTACTCTCTTGTGACACCTCTAATCTTCGACACTTATATGACCTTATTGTGTTGCAAGTGCCGTAAAAACTCTTATTAAAACTTTTTTTTTTTTAAACTTGTTCTAAAAACCACCTCCACCTGTCCAAGACGATCACTGGCACAAACTACCACTTCCCATTTCCCCCTTGCTTTTTTTATAGTTTAATGACTCTGACTATGCCGTCAAACTTCTTTTCTCCTCAACAATGGGTGGCTGTCATGGACAATTTTAACTGTAGTTTAGAATACTTCCCTTCGAAGTCCCTTCAATAACATATTCGCATAAAATCATGTTTTTATTGTCACCTGAGGTGTGAGCTATTAGTTGGCAACCACTGAATAAGGGCTTTTCTAAAAATCTATACCAAAATCACCTGGAGGAGCAAGAAATTTAATGCAAGAGAGTTTATTTGAATGAGACATTTATTGAGTGTACAAATAATTTGTTACCCAAAAAATGTAAATATTGTTAGTTACATGTAAATAGCTTTGTTTTTTTGTTTGAATTTTTTTTTTTTTACCTGGATTTCCTCATTTTTGAGTGAAAGAAGACTGCAGTAGAAGGCAGAATCACTTGTGCAACAGTTTACAAAAGATGAAAAGAAGCAGTTAGCAGTAAAATGACAACAATCAAATAGCAAGGCACTTAAGTACATGATAAGTCTTTGAGAAAATTGCATATATGTATACAGAACAGCAGAAAATAAGGCAGTTAGTAGAAGTGTTTTCATGTCTGGAGGCATTCAAAGTTATTTGTTGTGTTCCTCCAGCTAATACCAGTCAAAGCAAACTGATACTGTATTGCTTCATCTCCTCTTCCTCTTACATGAAAGTTTACAGTGAAAAAACAGATTTGCTGACTGCAAAATATGTATACAATATGAATGAGGAATATCAAATTATGTGTGCATCTTCCAAGTAGTTGAACTGTCAGTCGTGTATTTCTCCTCTTTAGTTTTTCTGTGCAAAGCTCAAACACAGATATACAGGTCTTTTTCATACTTTGTGTATGTTGATTTTCAACGGCAGTCACCATCGTCATCAGTTTTAGTAAAAAACCAAGTACCTGCCTTTTTTCTTCAAGGCAGCCATGTTGTTAAAGTTTTACACAGATGAAATGTTGGTTGGAAGATGTGCATATAAGTTGATAGCTGTTTGGTAATGAGAGAATAGCTCAATAAAGTACATCGGACATTTCAAGTACATGCAGTTCAATATCAAAAAGAGATTTTTTTTTTAAAGACTTAAATGCCAACTAAAATGAGTATAGACCAATCAGGGCTGGAACTCCTAAAGTCAACGTTCAAACAAGTACCACTCGCTCACTTATGTGAAAAGCTGTTCAGATTCTCACCATATAGTTCACTGTTACTTTTCTTGGCTAATTATACAAGATGAAGAAGTCTTTCTACCCATCTCCTTCTTGCAGACTACATTTCTTCCCATTTTTCTCCCTTTCTTCCATCTTCCATCCTGACATGCATGTAATAAATAAAGATAAGTTGATGGCTGTAAGATATGTACATTCCTATACTTCACATGCAAAAGTCACTGAGCCCTAACATGCAAAAGACATCTCTAGTCAAGACCTTTTTCTTCTCCGTAACTTGGCAAGAAGGCACCGAGATTTAGAGCTCACACTTCGTCTATCAGGCCTCAATCTGTACTAGTCAAGGGAGTCCTTCTTCTCACTGATAAATTCTCTCATTCTCCAACAAGGTTCAGTGGGTTGTTGGGGGTCGCGGCTGGTAGGTGCTACTTCTCTACCTTCCTTCCGTTGTTTCTGTCTGCCTGTCTTACTTTTTCCTAGCTCTAAATGACCATTGTTGTGTCGATGTGCTTTTGTTTACTCAAAACTCAAACTCAACAAGGTAGCAATGGTATTTTGACTTACATTACTAAGAAGAGCAAACATTATGTCTGTATTGAAATTCGTTGTGATGAACTTGTCTATTCTCACAATGTTCCTACCCCTCCCCCTCCAAAATCGTCTCTAGAGTGTACCCCCTTGTAGGGTGGATCCTCTTTGTTGTAAACCACTCAAGGTGTGGATGATTCCTCCATAGCCAAATTACTGTTGAAATGTTTAAAATCTGTTAATACTGTTAAATAGATGGATCCCCCCCCCCCCCCCTCCCAAAAAAAACAACTTATTTTTACAACACTTTTGTCTTATTGTGTCAGAGAGCAAATGTTTTAGATTTTTAATTGTGAATTTCAGTGTTTGTATTTTATCCAGACTGGATGGAAGGTGTATTGTTTTTAAAGTCTATTCACATTTCGAAGCACATATGCTTCTTCATTAACTATAAAATATAGATCAAAACGTCTGCTCTGTGACTGGTTTTAATTTTTCCTTACTTAATCTGTGCAATTGGTTTTTTTAGATGTGTCACATGTACATGCATGCTACACTTACGAGAGTGGCTTTGCAAAAATCTCAGCGTTTTTGTTACAAGCATTGTCTGTTTCCTTTCTTCATGATGGCAGAAATTAAGTCTTCAGAAGAAAAAAAATACAAAAAAAACCCCAACCTTTTACAGTATATGCACATCATTATACAATTAAGTGCAGTATGACTCCTTTCACAGGAAACTAGTACAACAATTTGAACTACAAGCAGCGCTATCAGTCAACTGATTTGAAGGCTAGTTGTTTTATCTATGCAGCTTGAGCCTTCAGTCCGAGGTCAAACGTCTCCCAATCCATGATATTTCATCTCTAGTCTTGTCTCTCAGACATTGGGACCACCTCCCTCTCTGTACAGATATTATGCTGCGTAGCTTTTTCACCTGAAAAATAAATAAATAAATAGCCGTCGCAAATATTAACACTTTGAAATTTTGTGTGTTTACATAAAGGAAATGTGGGTAATTAGTGGGTGCTCTGGTGTGGTTTGCTCCTTTTTTCCTATCTAACATCTATCATCCTCCACATTAAAAAGTTGTTTGTATCTTTTCATAAAAATTGTTTCAATGAATACATATAATTTTTCCAAATGAAAATACATCATTCCGCGAATTTCTCTTTATGAAACGACTGGTCATAAAATGTATTTCTGCCCTTGTGGGGATATCTGCTTTCCTCAACACTTTCATTGTCTTTGTTTGTGTAAAATTAAGGGACTCACTCTGGCTTTCCGTTTGATCCTTTGTTTTACTATGTGCTTTCTGATTCTTCTGGCTTCTCTTCACTTGGTGACTTTGGGGGACTAGATCTGGACTTGGATCCTGGGGAGTTCAAGGACAAATTACGTATGATTTTTGACTAACAAATTTACTTTTTTGTACTTTTGGTGTTTCTGAACAATTTTTTAAACTATCAGACTAAAAGTATGGTAGCTATGTCTGAAACTTATCTTTTATTAAAGTGTCAATGGAAAGGGGAGAACATTTTGCAATAACTTGAACTTCTGCTGACCTGCTTGTTTTTTGTAGTTTTTTTGGGGAAAGAAAAGAAACATGTTTACAAGAGGAGCGAGTGAAATGTCTGCTTATAGAACACTCTTTGCTGAATATACTTGTTTCCATTAGATGGAAAGTGCTGCTCTTTATGCTAAAGACTTTTTGTATTTATAACAACAGGAGTAGATGAAGATACAGGTTGACAATGTAGGGAGATGTTCATGAAGCTTCGAACCGATTTCTTTCGCTAAAATGAAATGATTGGACCGGTGTCTGTAATGTATTAGTCGGGCTTTTGACTGTTGCTCATAGAAGATGCGAGATTCAGGTGTGGCGAAGTTATGTTTGTCTTGAAATATATCTCCATCTGTCTGCTATGAAGCTGTAACCCACCCAGACCAGGTTGACCCTGACAGGGAGCGTAGAAGTAGTCCACTTTTTAAATTATCAGCAGTCACACTACATCCCACATTGCGCTCTGCTAGAACTATTCCGCAGTTGATCTTGATTGCGAATTGCAAGGAGGGGGGGGGGGGGGGGCGAAATGATTTGAACTGTTTTGACAGGGACTCAAAGCATTTTCGATCGATCAATCAAGAACTAGATCTAAGTGCACTCACCGGCCCGCAAAGGGATTTTGCTGCGCTTCCCCTTGCCCTCGTCAGACTCTCGACGTTGTCTGCCAGGAGTGTCTTTGGTTTCTGAGGGTGATTCTAGCTGAGGTTTCTGCTCAGCAGTTGTATCAACTGGTTCATCGCCGTCAGCAAGGGCCAGAGAAGTTGGTTTATCAGCTATGGGTGCTTCAGAGTTATTGACTGGCGATTCTGCTTGAGAATTTTTCTCCTCTGTACTAGACTCAACTATGGGTGTCGTGAGCTCTTTTGTGTCGGCTTTTTCTGCTTTGTCTGTAATGTCTTCAGTTTGTTGTTGCTCAGCAGCGCCTTTGTTTGCTGCTGGCAGAGTTTTCTCAGAGTTGGGCTGAGGTTTTGGGGTGAGAGCAGCAGAAACGCCCGAGTCCGAATCTTCTTCTGCCTTGTTTGCTGGCTTTGATGTAGCGTCAGTGGTCTTGGGGGTCGGAGTCTGAATTGTTTTCATGCCTGGAGTGGCCACATTTGAGGGCGGAGGAGCCTCTCTAGTCGGGGAGCTTACCACAGGGGATGTGGGTTTGGATCCTGCACCGCTTTTCGTGGGTATTCCACTGACTGGTTGTTTTGGCTGGTGAGGTGTGGGGCTTTTGGTCAATGCGTCCGAAGCGGACTTATTTGTGCTGTCTTTGATTGACGATTTGACTGGAGTTGTTGGCGGCATTGAGTTCAGCGTCGTTGTTGATGTTATTACTGGTTCGTTTTTGTCTGGTTTGACAGAGTCATTGTTTTTTAGCGCTGAGTTGCCCAGTGGGGTGATCTTGACGTGTTCAACCCCAGCTTTTTTGGCCTCAGAGGATGGGGAAGCTGTGGACACGACAACACTGGTGCCTCCTGAGACTGCTGCTTCCCCTTGTCCTCCTAAGTCCTGCTCCAGTCCAGATAGCCTTAGAGCAACCACTGCCTCTGCAGCCGCGCGGGCTTTCGGACTGGGTTTTGGACTCACTTTAGGTGGCACTTTCGCATGGCCAACCTTGGCCTTATGGGGGATGTCGCTGGACGAAGGCGTGGCTTCCGTAGAAAGGTCAGAGGAACGGGTCATTTCCTCTGACACAGGGACAATGGGGTCTGCATTTGGGCTTTTTTCAGCAGTGTTGCTGATTTTTGCAGCTTGTGGCGGTGTGGACACTTTGGTTAAGGGAGCTTCTACAGGTATGGAAGGGGCCTCATTTTCTCCGTCATCATCACCTTGTTTCCCTTCGCTCTGTGCTGCAGATGTCTCCGCCGCACTTGCTTTTTGAACCTCGACCGCTGTCTGACCCTTTTCCTCTGAGACATCCTTTGCCTTAGTTTTACTCTCTTCTTTTCCCTCTTCCTCTTTCTCCTTCCCGGACGTTTCAGGAGGCAACAATGCTGCATTATTGGAGTCTTTATCACTGCCTTTCGCTCCAACTGCTGGCTTATCGTTTGCCAGTTTATCCTCACCGTCAGTGTCTTGCTCCTTGTCTTCCCCATCTCCTCTTTTTACCTCTACGACGATGTTATCGCCCTCAGCCGCCTCAATGCTTTTCGACGTGGCTGATTCCTCGAACACGTCGTTGGAGGGAGCCTCCACATTTGTCAGCTCCCCGGCGGCGGAGGTAGCCGCAGCGACCACACTGGCAGCCTCCGAGCTGACGGATGCGATGGGGCTGAGCGTGGGCTTGGCGTCTTCCTTCCCGTCCCCATCGGCCTGCTGCTTCTGCTGCCCTTCCTCCTGCTGCAGGTGCATGGAGGCCAGCGTCTGCTCTATGTCCGCCAGCATGGAGGAGCGGGTGTCTCGCTTGTCCTGGTTCTTGTCCGTGTTGTCACGGATGGTCACCTCCTCCTCCTCTTTCTCGTCACTCTCCTCTTTCTGTGCCGCCCCCACCAGCGGCTGTCGTTCTGCTTTCTCCTGCGCCAAATCCTCCAACGGGGATTGTTCATCGTCCTCCTCCGCTAACTCCTGTAAAACAGAAAGAAATATTAACACAGTTCAGAAAAAAAAATTAGATTTACTTATATTGTTTTCACAGACCGGATTTAGTGGGTATGTTCTAGATACGTTTTGTGTGTGTGTGTGTGCGAGTGAGCGTCTGAGATAGGAGGGGGGGGGGAGAAAGGGGAACAGAAACGTACGAGATATAACATACGCAAGAAGTCTAAGACATGCAATGAAGGTAGAAACGTACGGACACACACACACACACACACACACACACACACACACACACACACACACACACCGGGGGAGGAAGGGTGGACATCCCCACTCACCCCAAACACATCCAGTTGTTCCATGGACTGTGTCATGGCTCTGGGCGCCCGGCTGTGTCGTCCTTTCTTCCTGGGTGCCTGCGGCCGTCGATACTGAGGAAAAAATTAATGAGAAGAGAGTTAACGACTATTGGGTCAGGGGACACACTTTTTTTGTACTCCAAACAATTGGGGGGGGGGGGGAGTTACAAATCTTTTTATGTACGGTACCAACTCATTGTTTTCATGTGCAGTTACACTAAAAATGAATACATGTATGACTTCTATGTCAGTTGGAAGAAGAGGGTAGTAGGCGGGCACCGCTTGTAGGTCCTACTTCTTGTCTTTCATTCTGTAGTTTCAGTTTCGTCTTGCTTTTGCTACCGGCGTCCGTGCTGTAGCGGTTAGGTGCTCCGCCGTCGCACACAGAAGCCGTGAGTTAGACTTTTGTGTGGGGAGAATTTGTATCGAGTGCCAGTCTTTCTGTTGGGACGTGTATCCTTTTCAGCCTGAAATTATCTTGATAGTCTTGTTCAAAGGAGCCGCCTTCTAAATGATGTGAATTGTGTGGATAGAGGCGTATGACTTTATGAATTTGTTTAGTTTTAGTAGAGGTGTTACGGCGCTCGCAGCTGCATAAGGTCATATGAGCGCCAAGGGGTGGATGTCAAAAGAAAAGTCCTTACACAGAGAATCAGGCTTACTCTGCTCACCTCTCTAGCTTCAACAGCGCAAAGTCTGCTTCGACTATTAAGGCACCCCGGAAATATCGGGTCACAAGAGTGTGACAAACATACAAAATAATTTTTAAAAGCAGCAGTTCTCTGTTGAAGTTCAGGCACAATTATGAGCATGACATTGATGAATCAGCCCATTTACAATTACAATTCTACTGTGCATAAGAACATGGTTAATTTCCTCCCTTTGGGAATGTCTTAAAGACATTTCAGTCGGTAGCCCCCGCCCCGAGGGGTCTTTATGAATTTACACATGTATGCAAGTGACTTTTCGAAACCGGGGGGGGGGGGTGATTACCTTCATCATGTGCGAAGCCTTTTGTTTGTTTTTCCCGCGGTAGAAATGGGGAGCGGTGGTATGGGGTATTAACTTTGTCATTGGCGAAGCTCCGTAATTGGGTGGGGGGTTTTCCCCGCGGGGGCGGGGTCGGGGTCGAGTACATACATAATATGTTTATGTAGCTTTCTTGTTTTTTGCTTCGAAAGACAACTTGCGCAACATTAGGTTGGGGAAGACCGCAGCCTTTCGATTTTCACTTCCTGATAGTCTGGTTTGTTCTTATCTGCTTTGCCCAACACCCACAGGCTCTCTTGTCTTCTAGTGGGGAAGAGCCTTCATCCGGTTCATGGTTTATTTCTCTCCCACCATGACACGCTGTCACGATCTTGCGATAAATTTGCGGGAACAAGAGATTGAAAGAGAGTGTGTGTGTGTGTGTGTGTGTGTGTGTGTGTGT